GCGGGTGCTTCCCACGCTGCTATCTATCCCTACGGACCCTTTGAAACGGGTGACGGCAAATCGGTCATGCTTGGAATCCAGAACGAACGGGAATGGGTCAATTTCTGCGACAAGGTCCTGGGCCTTCCGGATCTGGCGACCGATGGACGATTCGTTAACAATTCGCTTCGAACCAAGAATCGTGATGCGCTCAAGGCGAAAATCCATGAGGCTTTCGCCGACAAGACTTCGCAGCAGGTGATTGCTCTGCTAGACCAGGCTGCGATTGCCAATGCCAATGTCAACGATATGCAGGGTGTCTGGGAGCATCCACAACTGAAAGCCCGGGGCCGTTGGACCGAGGTCGCCACGCCTGCTGGCCCTATACCCGCCTTGCTTCCCCCGGGACTGACGCAAGGAGGTAATTTGCCCGCGCGCCTGGACGCAGTGCCCGACGTTGGAGAGCACAATGCGTCCATTCTTGCGGAATTAGGTATAGATGATTCAGAATAGATTAAAACAATCGCACTTGTACTCCATAACGGCATCTAGTCTAAGTACCCGATCGCTCTCCATCGGCCTTTAGGGTTTTTCGCCGATATTTGCCAAGCCTCTTATAGCCGATTTGCGTCATAAATCGGCTACTTCCTCGTTGCCTCTTCTCCTCTGCTGCTTCGCTGCTAGCGTGCATCGTAACTTGGATCGTGGCTAAATATCGCAGAAATCAGAGATGCCACTAGAATCCGCTTCGGCACGGCTGAGGACCAGAAAACGTGCCAAACAGGCGTGTATCCATTGCAATCGACGACGCATACGATGCAATGTGCTCGAGTCGCAGCCATGTCAAAATTGCGCTTCCATAGGCGTTCATTGCGAAGTGGGAATATCGAAGCGTGGAAAGTAAGCTTTATCCTCCCTAGTTGATAAAGTGGAGTTACCAACTGGGTATCGCAGGTATCCTCGCAGAAAGGCTGCGCGGCAATCTGCTACCCCCACCCATGAGGGCAAATCAACGATCTCAGACACAACGGTCTCGGACCGTAGTATATGTCAAGTAAACGATAGCCTACAGGTCTACTCGGCTACGTTGCATACTCCGCAGCAGGAAAGCCTATGGGTCCCCCGTACAACACATATCCAGCCCAGTGTTGCTTCCTGGCTAGCCCCCGGCGATTCCTCAACTGTCTCCCAACAGACTGTATTTCTCCGGGAGTCAAGTCCGCTGACCTGTGTTATTCATGAAGGGCGACGCTCTCCCGAGAAAGGCTCACCTAGCACCATGCAGAAAGCCCGCCTTCACTATCCGATCCCAGAAAAGTCGGATACGAGTAGTACGCGCGACGGGCCCCTTCGCGCGCATAGGGAGAAAGTAGAGGACCAGTTACGTGCAGATGGTGCCTTTTCGTATCCACCCGCTGAGACCTGTGCGTTACTGCTCAAAGCATACTTCACATGGTTCCATCCCTGTTTTCCTATCCTCGAACGATCCGCCGTTCAACAAGCATATAACCGAGGTGATCTGTCGCACCTCCTGCTGCAGTCCATGCTTTTTATCGGTATCAGTCTTTGTACGGACGCAGACTTTGCTCAAACTGGGTTCTCAGTTCGGTATCAGGCCAAGTTTCTCTTCTATAATCGGGCAAAGGCGATCTTCGATGCCGGTTGGGAATCCAACAAGACGACTAAGTTGCAGTCACTGATGCTCTTGAGCTATTAGCGAGGGGGACCGTCTGAAGAGCGAGATGTGCGGTTTTGGCTGGGAGTGGCCATTGGACTGGCGCAAAAGCGAGGCATGCATGTGATTTCAGTATGAAATTGTGTCCCAGGGGTGTTGTGCTGACTCGCGCTTAGGTCGAAGTTTTCCAGTCGACGCGCGAAGAGAAATTGTGGAAGCGGATCTGGTGGGCTCTTTATGTGAGGAACTGTTCATTCTATGAATTACCAACAATGGATGCTTATTCGAATAGATTCGCGATCAACAAAGTGCGGCTGCACTTGGGTTGCCTCCTCGCATTCGAGATGATGACTGCGACGTTCCCATGCTTGAGCCAAAGGATATCCGGGAGGACGACTTTGAAGAAAATGTTGAGAAAGAAGTCTTCGGGGTACAGGTTGAAGAGGACATTGTCTATCCAGTTGAGATGACAAAGTTGGCCCGACTCTGTATGCCACCATCTACTTTTCTTCCCTCGTCAGTCTTTTTTGTTCTACCTCCATTTTGTCTGAAAGCTAACCGTGTTTCAACTAGTACGTACCATTGTTTCATCTCAGTATACACCTTCACCGTCCGTTACAAACGAGACTTTTCGCTCAGAAGTCTGCCGGGAGTTGAGTGAATGGGAATCAAAGCTGCCTTCCATCCTGTCTTTGGGTCGCGCACGTTCCCCGAGGGCAACCTTTCTCACGGGTTTGCTGCACATGACTTACAAGTACTTCTGTTCTACCAAAAACGTTTGCTCAATGTCTGACTCCTACTATAGTAATCTCTACATTCTCCTATACCGCTCTTCATTTCTAAACCCTTCCGGACCATCCGCCGATAGCTTAGGTCAATATGCACTAGATGCCGCCACCAAAGGCACAAGGATTCTAGAGGATATGCTATCTCACAATCTTGTTCAGCATGGCCCGACTCACTTGTATGCCTTGAGCCCCTTCAAGGCTGGATATCACTGACAGTTCCAGAATTACCCATACATTCTCGTCTTTATGTATCCACACGATACATTGTCGCCGAACATCGGGTACCTCCCGTAAACTGGCAGAGCACCGTGCAAAGCTTTGTCTCATGGGACTCCAGGAACTACAGAAGTCTTGGGACCTGGAGAACTGGGTCTTGAAGCTTTTCTTCCGCTGCCTAGACGACAGTATTGCCCGTACTAATCGCTTGACGGATATCGCAACGCCAATTGGGCCGCTCATGAATCAAGCCGAGGATCCGAATGGAACTGTGGCAAACGAACCGACTCACGGCCCAACGACAGGAACGGCAGATCCCACCCCCAATCTTCCCATTTCTCCGAGTTTTCAACCTTCACAAAGCGCGGGGGGTGGAGATATTGTAGCCCCGAGTGATTGGTACGGACTGTTTAACTTCACCGACGACTTCAATGATGTTCTTGGAGCGGCTTCTTACGATGATGCACTCAATCTGCAAAACTTGCAATTCCTATACCGATTCTTATGACTCTGATCGCCACTATGCCAGAGAAAGCATGCCGTACTCTGTGTTTCAGGCTTACGATGTTTGTCTATTCTCTATACTAGTGCTGGTCTCTAACTGAACGGTCGATGAACCTAATTTCGCTCGGACATATATACCTCAAGGGATGATTCTGGCCTTTCTAAACCGATCAAAAGCTGTGTACCAGGCTCCCTGCACATCCCTTTCTTCCTTGGCATCTCCCCATGCCTTGTGCATCTTGGTAAGGTCCAGCTGTCTATCAAAGTCAAACTGAGAAATAAGGAAGTAAGGGACGTAAGGAATGCTTAGATCGTCGCCCACTAAGTGTCCGGATTGAAGACCGTACTCCTTTTCCATCGCCAGCCATTCATCTTGGTGTTCGCGCAGGAAGGTGGTCAGGTCCGGCCCAGGCCCGTTTGTGGGTGCAACACCCTTGAGGCCAAAGTACTGACAGAGGATCGGCCATTTGACGGACCAGCTGGTTGGGGTAGCGCTATCTGCCACGTTGAAGCTTTGCTCTGCGCTAACTTCGGGATGCAAGCTGGCATGGATAGCAAACCTAGCGATACTGTCATGGCTACTGTCATTGCTCTGGATCGTCCAGCTTTTGGTTCCCGGAAATACCACTTCTGCGCCCTCGCCATGGATCCGGCGGTATAGACTGAGGTACAATGCGACCCATTGAGCCAGGTTATGGGCGCTATTGTTAGGGACAAAGCCGATGATAATGTCTGGCCTCACATCACAGTATGTCCAGTTCTTGCCCTTGGACATTGTCTTGAGCAACTCGTATTGGTGGGTGTAGAATAGCTGGGATAGGTGAGGTTCTTCAATGGGAGGATGGGTCTCTTTGAGTGGGAGGTTATCGCTGAAAGGGAAATTGCCCAAAAGGTGCACTCCATAGGCCTGCAGATTGTCAGCTTATACAGGTTGGCCTGACCTATCTATGTCTACTCGGCATACCTTCACGCCCGTTGGCACAACTACAAACTGAAATTCTGGGCATAACTTCTCGATAGCAACCAGTGTTCTCCTGAGCATGCCAATATTCAATTCAATTTCTCGCTCTGAGTTAAGGTCCGGAATGTAGGCACAGAAATATACCGTTGTCACGGACTCCAAGTTAGGGACTCGGTTAACCAGTTCTTGTTCGAGCGTTTCTTGGCTTGCTTCCTTGAGATCCAGACCGCATACTAGACGCAGTTTATCGGAATTGGGCCACTGTGCCTGTTCAGCGGAGAGGGGTCGATTGGTAAAGGCCGTGATATACTCGAAGGCGCCGGGATCGGGGTAATTGTTCGCAAGGGCATTGACAAAAGCCCACCCATTGATGCCAGAGGCCCCGAAGACAAGGGCGTGATTCGCTTTAGATGAAGAGATGCTACCCATTGTGGTTGATAATTGTTGCTTTCTCGTTTGCACGGGTTCTAGCTCGATGAATCCCAAGAGAACACTCGTGAATGAGGGGTAGCACTCCGCTGACGTGCCCCATTGCTTTAACTTCGATGGAATTGAGTGGAACAGGGCCCAATCTCCACAGGGGAGCTGATACTCGTACCGAGACTGGAGGCCATTTGTTTAGTTTAGGGTAGTTTTGGCCCCTTGTGGAGACTGCAGAAGTCCAGCCACGAACGAGTAGTCGAGAGCTCATGCACAAGTCTTATCATTCTTGAATTTGGTGATTGTACGTAAATGAGGAATGAGGGTATACCCTTGGTATGTAGAGAACTTTTGGCCTTCAGAGTGCCATGCTCATTTGAGCTACGCAACTTGAAAAGCCTGTCTATCAGGTATATTGTGATCTTGTAGCACCATTACACCAGATTAGTCAACAATAGGGGTTGTAGCTCAGTGGATAGAGTGGAAGATTGCAATGGATCCCTCCCTCGGGTTCGCTAAATTGCAAGCTATCTTTAGGTCGCCGGTTCGATCCCGGCCAATCCCTCTTTTCTTTTTACTTTTTTCTATCCATATCAACATTTTAATTTATTCTCGGGTTTGAAGAATTCAAACCCTTTTTTTTTTTTTTTTCCCCTTTTTAGCACCTCATCTGTTCTATTCCAGTGCCGAGTTTGTCTATGTTTTTTCTGCTAAACTAAGTTCAGTCAGTAGCAGACGTACTCGAACTTGAAGTATCAATCCGAATGGCAGATATATATATATGTATGTATATATTGAGACCCTAGTATAGTACTAAATAGACAATGGATTAAAATCAACCACTAAAGAGTGAACAATCAAAAAGCCGTAGGAATGAACTATTTAGTTGGCTTAAATGATGTATTTCTACCAACTTAGCTCTACTACACCTGATTAATCACCCAGTGGCAGCAAGATTCATCGATAAACATGCAATAAAGAGTATCGTGTCCTCACCTCAAAATCAACTCAAGTGAGACAGTACAGCCTCCAGACCCACAAATCAATTTACCCCATTGCGGATACACGACGCTATTTTCGAAAACAAGTCGCATTCCCGATCATTCCCCAGGCCTCCGGTGGTTCCGTCCCATCCGCTGGATAAGCTTGTGTGGTTGGAGTCATGGATCCATCCGCCGGAAGGGCTTCGGAGGACACGTGCTCTAGTTACACCATATAGCACTAACTGTACAACGTCTAGCTTAGCTTTTGATTACTATACGTGGATTGTGAGTCGATGATGCCACTCGCAATGATTCATAGAGCCCTAGAGTGGAGTGTACTGAGCATTAGATAACATGGCCACCCGGTGGTTGTGGTGTGAGGCATCCGCTGAGTGTGTAGTGACCAATATAGCCATTTCCTAACGCTCCGGTGATAGACGCATTTCCAATCGAAAGGACAGCCGATAGCAACCGGAGCAATCGAGTTTCACGTCCTAGATTGAGTTGGCAACGCATCGACGATGACATGCTGGTGAGAGAAGCTGACCGCTTCCACAGCTACCCCCTCACGGAAATAAATACCCCTCAAACAAGGGAGCAATACGCGCAGTTTATTCGACGATGGGCCAATCTAGAACGGTGGATTCTCTTTATTCCCCCAACAAATATGGATTTATTGTGACATAATTATTCCCGACCGTCGGGAATAGGTGGATCCCCTATCGATCGGTTGCTTAGGGTTGACTCATTCCCGACCGATTAACAATTTTTCCCCCTGATATTTATATGGATGATGTATCCCTTCCCAATCACCTTGGTACTGTTTACGATTATTTGACTTCGGACCGTTTGCTTGAGCTCGTTTCCTCTTTTGTCTGCTGCCAGATATGCCTGCCACTTGTACCGATACTGAGGTGATGCCTCAGTATAGCTTCACCGATGATTACAGCGAGGGTGCTCATCCGCTCTTGATGGATGCGCTGCTGCGCTCGAATACCACCCAGCAACTTACATACGGCAATGACGAGTACTGCGCGGAAGCGAAGCGCTTGATTCGGGAAAAATTGCAGGCGGGCGAGGAGGAGGTGGCGATTCATTTCGTCCCGAGCGGCACTTCCGCCAATCTTATCAGTATCACGAGCTGTCTGCGCTCCTACGAGGCCGTCTTAACGGTAGAGACCGGCCACATCGTCAGCATGGAAGCCGGAGCCATCGAAGCAACCGGACATAAGACAATCCTCGTCCCCGGTGTACGGGGCAAGATGACGCCCGAAAATCTGGAAAACACCGTCCGCCAACATAAATTCTTCCCGCACAACGCCAAACCCCGACTGGTGTACATTTCCAATGCCACCGAGCTGGGCACCATCTACACAAAACGGGAACTCCAGGCGCTCTCGGCCGTCTGTAAGAGCCTGAACCTGCTTCTTTTTGTCGACGGTGCGCGCATGGGCGTCGCTCTCAGCGCCCCCGCCAACGACCTCACCCCCCGCGACATGGTCGATCTCACGGATATCTTCTGGATCGGCGGCACCAAGATGGGCGCGTTACTCGGTGAAGCTATCGTCGTGCGTAACCACCTGGCAGAGGACTTTGTCTTCCACTTGAAACAGCACGGAGCCTTGCTGGCCAAGGCCCGGATTATGGGCGCGCAGTTCGCCGAACTGTTCCGGGAGAATCTCTACTTTGACCTTGCCACGCATGCGAATGAAATGGCTCAGCGTATCTCTGCTCATTTCGAACAGCTGGGGTATCAGTTGGCTGCGCCGACGGAGACAAATCAGGTCTTTATCGCTTTGCCGATGGGGTTGATTACCCGGCTACAGGAGCGGTTCCGGTTCTACATCTGGAAACCGGTTGATGAGGAGACTGCCATCATTAGACTGGTTACGTCTTGGGCGACGGATTCTCTGGAGGTCGATAAATTTAATGCTTGGGTCAAGCAGTGGAGTGTTTGAATTGTTGTTTCTTGGCTTTAGCGATTGCATGGGTCATTTCAGCGTTATGACTCTTATTTTGTCGTTTTTAATGGGACCCCGGATAGAATTGCATTGTTAGCGGTATAGAATTAATGCTAATGATCTTATTATGTGATTGTGGTGTTGTTCAGTTGGAGATGTTGGAGTCGTGGATTAGTCTAAAGCGAGATCGGATATGGGACCACACCCCGAGTCATGCTTTGCGGCATGCCGATTCCCGATAGCTGCCGAAATATATCCGAGTTTGGCGACTTTTCCAAACGCCGAGGTCGAGTGTCCACTGTCGACCGAGAGACCAATATAATTCCACTGAGATGGTTCTAGTTGATGAGTTATTGCTGTGCGATGCTGTTGAGATAATATTTTCTACGGTACTGTACAATTCCAAAGCGAACAGAGTGCTCGTGCCAGTGACCCACTAGCAATAATGAAATACAGAAGAATTGTATGATTGGCTGCATTGATCTATAGTCGGCGAAAAGTCAAATAATCTATCTATATCAACCAAATGTACTAACACTATGCAGAATCCTTGCCCAACTTCTCCAGATACTGCTTTGCAACATCCACCACGGCATCTTCAAAAGGACGGAACTTGAATCCTAGAATCGCCTCGGTTTCACTAGAATCATATGACATGGGCAGGGTAGGCAGCTTGCCCGGCGCAAAAGTACCATCCGCCACTTGTTGGGGAAAATTCTTCTCGACGATATCGAACAAATTGGAATAGTCAATATCCGTGCAAGCCCCGAAGTTGCTGGGCATCTGCGGTGTAGGTTCCAGACACATCACTTGCACATGAACCTTGGCCAGGTCGTCAATGTGGACATATCCGCCGTGAAGCGGAAACGGAAGATCTTTACCCGTGATACTCCCCATCAGGTATCGGTTCGAGCTGTTCTCGTCGCGGATCTCCTCTGCTGTCAGACAAAGCTCGTTCCGTCCGAAGACGTACCCGGGCATGATATGTGCGACGGAGAAGTGAGGATTGTGCTTTGCCACGAATGCATCTGTTTCATTGGCCTCGGTGATCTTGGTAAGGACGTATGATTGGAAGAGATCCGGGAAGGATGTTGGGTATGGACTGGGGGATGGGACGCGTGAGGCGGCGGTGACGGTCTTTGTTGGATCCGGTAGCAAAGGCATGTTTCCTACGATCGAGGAGGTGATGACAATCCGTTTGATCGTGGGAAATTTCAGAGCGGTGGAAAGAAGGTTGGCGGTGCCTTTGATAGTGGGCTCCCAGACTTGGGTTATCGGGTCAAAACCAGGGACTGGCACTGGGTTGCCAATGTGCAGGATATATTCAACATCTTTCAAGGCTGCGTCCAATGCACCGTCGACCGTCATGTCAGGGACGATGACGGGGGTGAGGCGTTCCCCCGGAGCCAGGTCTTGGATCACGGAGTTGGTCAAGACTTTTTGGGCTTTCGCTTCAGAACGAGCCGTAAAGCGAACATTGTAATTGTTTCTCAGGAGTTCAAGGAGAGCTCGGAAGCCAATGAGACCGGTGGCACCGGTGATTAGAATGAGAGACGGCATGATCAGTTGTCGATGATTTTATAGTTCACTGAAGCTTGAACAATATAAACAAGATAAAAGAGCGGATTCTCTGTGAAAGGAAAAGTTGAGATAAGCTTTAGGAATTGACATGTTGGTGAATTGAACTTCCTTAAATATGTCAAGTATAGACAAGGTATGTCCAGATTGCCTACTAAGATGGAATTATGTATAGATATGGGCTCCTTCTGGAATGATGGAATTGACGGCGGCAACCACTAAACCTATCTAAGCTAGAATCCTTCACTCTGACTGGCGACTTCGGTTAATGAAATTCCCACTAACAGTCGTGTTTCCCACTTGTAATATTTATAGTCTTTGTAATTTTGTTATTTTGTAATTTTGTAAGAATGCCTTGGTGCCTGAATCCAGGTATGGTATTTGGGGAATAATTACGGTGCGGAGTAAAGAGAAGAGGATGAATAAGTCGAAACACGGGTGGATCATAACTCTCATGACTAAGCCATTTCATTACCTAACAGGTGACTTGTCACATTTCCGATATTCCCGACTCCAATTCTTTTCTTTTCTGGTTCTCAACCCGCTGATCATTTGGTATTCCCGACTAGAGAACATTTCGAGAATGCGCCTTTCGATATCGTGTGATGCCTGTCGGTGAGTCTTATTATTATGATTACTATATTTCCCTTTGCTCGATGTCTCCATTATACTGAGATTGACGCAGACAATCGAAAGTGAAGTGTGTTCATGACGGTCGACCACCATGTCGTCGCTGCCAACGCATGAATAAGCAACAATGCACGCTTACAGACCCGCGAGTATCGCCGTTGCGTCCGAGAAGAGACTCTTTGCGGGTACAGTCAAGGTCCAGACAATCTTCTTCACGATCTGTCGTGGATACTTGTCCAGTGACGGCTAATACGAACTCAAACACAAACGGGGACCGACGATGTTGTCCAGCCTCCGCAGATCCTGGTCCCTTTGCCTCAATATCTTCCGTGACTCTCATCAGTGCCTGTAATACCTATCGCAAGAAATTCCCCGTAGCTAACTTTCTTCACTATCCATCTTTAATCGCCGAC